TTAATTTTCTAAAAACTCCAAAGAAAAGCTTCCAATTTAAATAAACTGTTTTCATCTACCAGGAACAAATATTTCAAACGCGAAAGATCATTTCAGAAGCCAATATTTAATAAATTAAAAATTTTATTCTTACAAAATGCTGTAAACGGTAACCGTGCTAGCTCGTTGCCTATCATAACCCACAAATAACTAGCTGCAGAATAAAAAATGAAGAAATTAGATAATGAATTTTTAGCGGAAGCAGAGACAAAAGGAAAGACGAAAATTGCAGACCCGATTAATCGGGTAATATAAAAATTGATATGCAGTTAACTGAACGAAAGAATTTTAAATACGATCATTTGACTGGTTCCCGGTACGGTTAGTGTTAACATACATTTTCGTGCCGAACGAGTATCAACAGCCATCGTGAGAGGAACGAAATGATTCTCATCGAGATCGTTATACTTCGTGTTTCATAAATGAAAAATGAAATAAAACTGTTGTGCCTATCTCGTGTACGCCTCTTTGCTCTTTCCAGCGTTCTCCGGCGCGTAATCATCATCATCGCGTCGATCATCTGTCGATTCTTTAATATCACGATCGAGATACATCTGGTACCTCGTGTCAAGATACAAGATCGATTTACTTAAACCGGCTCGGTCACGATCGATCCGCGGGCAGCTGTAACCCGTGGTAATCCTGGCTTCCCTCTTCATTTACTCTTCCTTAACGTTCTCCTTCTCCGTCCGTCGCTCGGCTCAACGAGGCGCATTCAAAGGGTTCACTAAGAACTGCTTTATTTGGAACGTCCGATAACTAAACTCATTCTTGTATTTCTTTGCGGCTGTCCGACGCTATTATGCCTTTCGATTCGGGGATATTTCCATCCCCGTCTTCCCGTTTCTTTTCACAGCTGTTTCGTCTGTCGATTCTTGTTCTCCTTCGTTTGTGACGGACCTGGATGTTACATTACATCTCGTGGTTCAGTTTACTTTTTAACACTAGAACTACCGTGCAAGTCAGAATGACTGGTTTCGGTTTTCTTACATTATTAATATCTTAAATGCATTGAATATTCGGAATAATTTTGAAAATAAATAGTTTCGCTTAAATACTATGATCGATGTATGAAGAAACTGAAAATAATCTTTTCTTATCATTTTTAGAGGGATTACGTGTCAATTATATTAAATACTCGGTAGTTCTAGTGTTAAAGAAATCGTGGTCACTGAAGAGATACATAAGAGGGAGAAAATTGAAATGAAGTTGATGTTATGAAGAATTTAAGCTTTTGTAGTGAAACATAGAATTCTAACTGGTCTTTTTCGTAAATTAGGGTGTAATAGTGTGGTTTTACATTAATTTTGGAAGATTAGTTACTTGGACTGGAACTTTTAAGTTAAAGTGATACAACAAGTATGATCGAATGAGAAATTTAAGGTCAACAATGAATAGTGATTTAAAGTTAAAAGAAATTGACTTTCTTGCACCGTCTAAAATGGAAATCTCACAGAAAGATGACACACGAATTGAGTCATTATTGCTTATTTCCTGATGAAGCGTAAACCCGCAAAGGCGACATGATTCTACATTTCAAACTGACTTGTTACTCGAGTCAATACTAATTTCGAAGCCCTTCCGTTCGAGAACGCAATGAAGGTCTCTTGTAGATCCACGGGTGATTGAATTAAAGTGGCGTAATGGATAAATTGCACTCTAGATTGACGCACGATCTTCTTTTTTTACGTTGCTCCTGTTAATTCTTCTTCGAAGGGAGGATGTTCGCAGAGCTTTCTGCAGAAGAACGAAACAGAATGAACAAATCTAAACTTACTGACTGAACTAAAAATTATAATACTACACAGAGACACTGAAAAATATTCTAATATTTCCTTACTTAATTAACGAAGAAGTACAATTACGAATAAGGCAAACAGACAACTCTAATATCAATAATTTAAGGTAACTCCATCCGAAATCTCATTTAGATTGTCAAATATCTATACTTTACACTATTTTCAGTTATATACTAAATTTTCTATAGTAGCCTATTTCACTACACTACAACTACCGAGCACTCAAACTGACTTTTGAAAATGTTATAAAAACTACAAACGTGGATTTATTAAGATTTGTATTCTTTTAAATTTCAGCTTAGGTATTACTTAAACAGCTTCTTTAGTAACTTCTCAAAGATATTCGTATCTCTTCAGTAATCGCAAAAGAAAAAACAAGGAATGGGTCATTTTAACCCATTCGATAGTGTTAACTATATGTTCCTCTCGTATACATTCACTTTCATAAATACATATCTTCTAGTAGGAATCAATGATATTCATACTATAATAATAATTTTTTAAAAAATGACCCATCCACCCAAACTTTCCCTATAATAGATGTCCGCATCGTCTAACTCTTACACCAGTTCAACCGTAGTGTATTCGCGATTATTTCATTGAACAGGAATTATCGTTGACCATGGCCACCCATAGCAGATCTTTCAGCTGAGACAAGCAATGGCGGCCAATTTGAACGGTCACGATAAATCAAACGCGAACAGGACGACGCTCTGCCTTAAATGCAGATTGCGCTTATATGCAGATTCACGGGAGAGAACAAACGCGTCGCATCGTCGCGTACGCGGCCCGGTAACATTTTAATCGGTTTTCAAGGCTAGCTCCGTGTAAACGAGCCCTAACGAGCGGGACGCTGATTCCGCATGCACGCGGATCGTGTGTACTGCTGCCGGGGCACGCAACATTGCATTATTAATTGCGAGCCAATTAAGGCGCGTTACAACGTTACATCGTTTTACCACGCGAGTCGGATGCTGCGCGCGACCGTGCGTCCGTTGAAAATCGAGCCGAGAAAGCGGCAGACATCATTGATTAATGCGCGTCGAAAAAAAAACAACAGGTCTCCGGGACGGAAACTGTGGTTTAACATGAATATTATACTGACAACTGACCTGACGACTTCGAATTACTTAATATAAACCTGGGAACACGTAAACTTGAAATGTACGAGCTGCTAAATGTATTAGGTTGATATAAATTGGAAACCAGAGATGGAGATTGTTTCTGTTTCAACCGTTTGCACTCGGAAGTTTTTCGCTAGAAACATTTTAACATTTTCCGATGAGATAACGACGATATTTTGTGCAACTTACTGGAAGAGGAATTATTACATTGAGGAATAAAGCTATTTTATTTCAATATTTCTCAAATTGATGCATTATAAAGAGTATAATATTAAATATCAAATTTTACTCGAGTGCAAAGGGTTAACTCGGTATATACTGGTACTGGCATTTTCGAAACTGTAATTGCGATAGTAGTAAAGCAGATGAAGATGAATGAAGTGGCACGAAGCATTCAAAGAGGCTAATATCTAATGTGAAGAGTACAAATTCTCTAATATAAATGAAAGAAGAGACAAACTTGGACTCTTGAATGCTAGCTTCGAAATGTCTCACTCCAATAAGAATGTAAAGAGTAAAAATAAAAATTGTTTCTGATTGTACCTGGCAACTATATTGCAATCTTCGATGCTGAGAATAGCAACAAGATAGACGAAGGAAACGATCGAAGCGACGGAAAGAATTGAAAAAAAAACCAAGCCTAATGATCATCTAAGTGTTGCTCGTATCTTCTACAATGGGTTTCAAGGATTATTCAGAAATTGTCTACAAGGTTTTCACACAGACTCCATCCTTCGGGATGAAAAGATGTCTGGATGCAATACGCCTTCAGTGTCGCTCGAAGACGTATCCTCCATTGAACAAAATCAATCCTGACACAAGGTTCTCGTGCGCACAATAATCGGCGTATTACGTCAATCATCTGTACTTGACCAGGCAGCCACTCTGGCAGCTGATGACCTTAATAACACTTCGCATAAATATATGCACACGACGACGTACTTTGTGTCTCATCGACCGTGGAACCGCGTTTCAGAATTTCCACGAAACACGTCACGCGCGGTCTCATTACTGGCCGTGCGCCGTGGATCCTCGGCGTACAATAAATTAAATTAATCATAGAATTCGCGGAAACTTCACGGAGACGCTGAATCTTGTCTCGCCGCCGAGATTCGTGACTCACGACGTGCCAATCTTGTTAGGGTTAAATGTGCGCCCGGTTTTCGCGACGAACCGTACTCATTACACTCCGTGAATTGTCTTTGTACCCGAGGTGAAATACGTTCCATTGAAACCACTGAAGCTTTCCGCTTCAGTAAACCCATAAGTTATACGAAGAAGTAGTAATTTAATCAAAAGTTGAATTTCCACTTGAATTTTACTTGAAAAGAGAGTCTGAAGTGTAAGTTTAGATTTTCTGGAAAGAAGAATAACATAATTGAGAATCCTAAATTCGATACCTTCTTCCTTAGACCTTCCAATCGTTTTTGTAAAACAATCAAACGATTATAAATAAGAAGTTTAAATATTTCCATTTCTTTTATATTATGAATATTGTAACTAATCAACTATTTTTAACCAATTCTTTGAATACATGTCTAATCAATAGCTTCTTCAAATATTGAAATAATTGCACAATTTTTGGAATTTTCTTCCAATCATTTTTGTAAAACGATCAAACGATTATAAATAAGAAGTTTCAATATTTCCATTTCTTTTATATTATGAATATTGTAACTAATCAACTATTTTTAACCAATTCTTTGAATATATGTCTAATGAACAGCTTCTTCAAATATTGAAGTAATTCCACAACTCAGCCTCCAGAAATTCTCATGCTTCACGCATGGATCCATCGCAATTCCAGTTTAAACTTCGAATATGTCGTGTAATGTTACACTAGTCTCAAAGTTGATGTCACGTTTCCAAGCGGAGCGTATACATAATTGCAATCTCGGTCGGAGGATCTCGGAGGAGATCGAACAGATCGAGCTCGTAACGAGTCGATGGTTACGACCAATTGCGATGGAACGGTTGTTAACGATGCGAACTCATCGATGGTGACTTTTAAACAGTTCCCTGTTTTATATGTTCGCAGGCGTGTGCCCCCAGGTACATCTGGTTCTCGGTGTCCCAGTCGAAGCATGATCACGATGACAATCGGTGGAGCAAGGAATCGACGGCCGGAAATCGACGGGAACCTGTCGGCACCTGTTGGGTCGTTAGCGACAGCTTCAAGGAATCGCAGGAATTTTCACCCTGCCGGACAAGTGAGTTTCTTGTTATTTTCTCCTTTGCGTTTCTTTTTAGAACAGAAATAAGACCTCGCGAACTTCGACGGATTTAGAGCAGTTAGAGATGATTTATTCCTCTGTGCATTTCCGGTTTACAATCTCCTATTTATCAGCGGGATATCCAACAGTAAACGTAATGTGTTCTCAATTTTCTTAAACATGAAGTTAACACGTTCGCTACCAGAGTCACGTATTTGTGATGGGCACAATCTTACATTTTACGTAAAGCAAATGAAATTAATCTTATAGATACTGTTATTTAAAGTTATAAGCTAGGCATTATATTTAGGAACTCAATATCTCGTTCCAGTTTCATTTTTTCGATATTTTGTTTAGAACATTTATTAGATTGAATGAAATATTAAATTGAGGAGGTCCTCATCGAGATAAATGCTGGTAGCAAACGTGTTAATATAAGAATTAGAAATTCTTTCGCGTGCCCATTCTCAACGATAGAAAAGATAAAGTCTCTCAACGTCAAAGTTGAATAAGCAAAATTCGTCTCGAAAAAAATATCATTAACCTCTTACGGTAAAATGACGAGCTTATCATTTGTCTTCCGTGACAAATCGTGCGACTAAAATTACAGGCAACACGTTTTCACATGCATAAAAGTGCAGTTCATAATTGAGAATAAATTGAGAATAAATTCAGATAATATTTAGTAGTACGTTGCTAGATTACTTTTAATTAATACTCTTTTAATTAACAAAATGTGCGAATCATAAAATGAAACATGTTCTCTTTAATAAAAACAAAGTACTCTTATCATGCATAACTTCGTGATTAAATCGTACCGGAAAAGGTTAATGGGTTTACGAAGAAAAGCCTAACGTGAGAAATCATTTTGATCTGTAATCGAGTTAAAATACTTCAAACCATTCAAAACACTATGATCTATAATGAATAATGAAACTCTTATTTAACACTAAAACTACCGGTCAAAATGACCCACTCTTAATTAATTATTAATAACAAATGTTTCTCTGAGAAATGATTGCAATACGCGAACTGTATTATGAATCAATTGAAGTCTCAATAGAAGAATTCTTGAAGTGTCTATAAAGAAATTCCCAAAAGTCAATTTATCTGCTCGGTAGTTTCAGTGATTCGCACGAAAATCGATCGCGAACAATGAAATCCGCCATTGCACGATGATAATAACAAACTCCTCAACTCCGTTTGTACGCAGCCCGTTCTTTTGGCACTCGAATCGAAACCGTGTTCCCAGAATTTATAGAGTACGCCCGGTCCCGTCCCCGTTCCCGAATTAGCTCGGTTTACGTGAAAAAGGGAGAACGAAATCGGGAAAACATCTTTGTGACTCCGGCTACGCTCCGCGCGAGTGCTATAAACAGTTGTAAACAGTTGACCCGGGGGTACTCGGTCGTGTTCTCTTCCGACGAGTGTCCCGAGGATAAGCGGTGTCGTTTCTCGAGAGGTAAATCGCTCGTCCCTCGAGGAATCCCGAGGGGCAAATTTCCTCCGAGGACGTCGAGGATCCGCCGCGACATGTGGCCGTGTCCTCAAACTATGGCGGCCATAAATACGCCCGGTAACAGGATATTTCCTGGCGTCCGTGTAGGTCTGCCTTTTAATGACAAAAGACATATCGATTTTCGTCGGCCCAGCGAACGGGTGCTGGTTCTTATAATGATTTAGGGAGCTACGTGGTCAGATCCACCTGTCTCGGTGTCTTGATTCGATTATCGAGCGGGGAAACGTGCGTGATGTTCGGATTGCGATCTTAACACGTTGCGCGCCGGCACCGCGATAATGCGGGATTTTTAGATATTTACAACACAAATCCAAAGTAAAATTACAAAATCGAATTCCTCATTCTTTTTCGTAAGTCAGAAATTTCGGCTCGATTGATGTTTAAAAATGTGTCAGTATAATCACCGACGCTCGCGTTTTTAGAAATTTAGCCGGCGTATAATGTGTTAAAGGATTATTATTGAGTTTTAACCCTTTGCACTCGACGATCTTGTTGCCACGTGTACACCTAATCTTTTAATGAAGCATTGACTGAATTTTTTACCGGATTGAAATATTAAGCGATACCGTTATTTTAATGTTTAATTGCATTATATTAGAGTTAGCATTAAATATAAAATTTTGCAATTTTGCTGCGTCAGATTATAATCATGTTTGTAATTGTTCGTTTAAATTTGGACCTCAAGATGTTATAAATGTAATTTGAGAATTTTGACATTTAGAAATGTTGAGGTATTGATATTGAAAATGTAGTAGGAATTATTTATTTTTTTGCGATAGAGGTAAATCTTGGAATAATTATTAATTGGGTATTCGATGAAATAGGTGTCACTTCTTTCGCTTCCTAATAAAAAAACATTACGCGGATCCCACGTGTAGGTTAGGAAAGTGTATGACGCAGAGGAGGATGAGTGTTTTTCTGAATCATCAAATTCATTCATTAATTCGTTACGACAACGATTACGCCATATCTTTATTCTACGCGCATGATCGAATGCTACAGTGTTCCATGGATTCTTATTTTCACGTATAATGACGAAAACATATTCATTTTTCTTATAATTACTTTAAAATTCATTAAAGAAACAAGTCATCGACATTTTTCAACGACAGCAACCTCTGCTCAATCGTTAAGTGTTCAACCAGAAGTACATTTTCTTCTTTTCCTGGCGATAATGACGCCCCAAGATAAGTTGCCTCAGAATGCAGTGCATTTTTGTGTTATCTGGTACTTATCACCACTGAAACAGACTTACAGCGCAGATTTCAGCTGTTATTTATGTGTAGGGCAGTATCGTGCGTCTCCCACGTTGCTTAGATGTTTCGGATGTCTTTCCGGTCGATCATATTTTGTTCAACCGTTTCTTCTAACCCAAACTGTTACCTTTGACTTTCGATCTCCAACAAACGAAGTTCCTTTATTCCTCCAAGTTACATATACAGAAATGTTCAAAGAAGAATTTCGAAAGAGATATTCTTCAGAAAAGGGTATAACGTTTCCAGAAACGAACGACGTTTAAGAATGTTCGCTGATAATAACACTCGTTGCATCCGGCACTCAGTCGATGATCACAGAAACATCCTTTTCCTGTAACTAAAGTGTCCCCAAACTTACGCTGAAGCATTTGTTGAAACACAAAGCTTGCATGCGCAGGGACGGAGAGTGCATTCCAGGCTAATGCATTTCCTGCAGAGCGAAGCATCCAGTATTCCTTGCGAATTGCATTTTTCCATCGAAGTAACTCTTATTATTTTGATTCCAATGAATTTATCTTCGATGGAAATGCAATTGTGCAAGAAAATACAGACCTATTTAACACCCTGTCATGATATTCCTTTCTTAATCCAACAACAGCTACCTTATTATTAATTTAGAAAATAAAAATGAAATCTTATTGTTACATAGTTTTATACAATATTAGAAGTAGTTAAAACGATCAGATAAACGCGGCTACGATCCATCATAAAATCGTGATATCTACACGGAAACGATTCGAGGCGTCGACGTGTGAGATCATCGTCCAGAAATTCCGCAACGAGACCGGGCAATTAAACAATTTGTAGGAACCCAACGTTTGCCGCCGCTTTTCCCAAGAATCGCAGCGGCGTTTTAACATTAGATCGCTTTGTGAAGAGCCTCGTTGTTAAAGTCACATAACTTCTCATCGAAAATTCTTCCGTTTATCAATTTACGCATCTACATTCCGATTCTATTCGCTAAATCGAATCGAGCATTATATCTATCATTCGAATGGAAATTAAATGAATATTTCCATACCTGACTTCGCGCAAGATATTCGAATACTGTGCAAACATCGTGAGCTTCCGAGTGAATCCGGCAACGAGAAACGAATTCCTCATCGGTACACAAATAATGACGATTCCAGTCGTTCGATTACGTGAAAAATCTGAAGTATTACGAACGAAGGAAATTCACTTGTGCGGACAGTTCGAATCGACGTTTTGAGATATTCCAACAATCCGATGATTAGCGTGGAATTGAATTGTCGAGAGGTATCGAGGCGTTCAGTGCTGTGGGAATGGCACCGAGCCAGCATTTAATTTTGAATCCAACTATAGCCGTAACCTCGCTTGATTGCTCTTTAGTATCGCGTTGTTCATTGTTGCCTTTTCTGGAGAGAATTGCCGTGCACGTTCCTCTGCTTGCTTATCTGTCTTCGAGTAACCGGCATCCATTTGTCGGCGTTTACAATGTCATAAGTATAATTTCCTTCACGGAACGCAGCGTATACTCGGCTACACAGCTGCGCGTTTGCGGCCGCTCCATTCTCGTTCACGTCCTTCGATGTCGCGAATTACTCAGTGGCGGAGTGCTTGATTTTTAATTGACTCGGTCTTCGCCGATTTTGAATTATTTATGACCAGTCGAATTGTTTATTCGATTCTTCTCTATCGAACACTGTTGCAACTGTAAGATCGTACGCGTAAACGGAATGTTACATTTTTGTAATTGTTATTGTTTCATTTACTATGCCGTGGAAGGAGAGTTAATTGTTAAGTGGTACTTGAAATTTAATCGATTTATGGTTACTGTACTTTTTAGTCTTGGAACGAAGGTTTCTTTTATAATGAAAGTAACAAGAGTTTCTTTAGGTTTTTCGTTGTTTCAAGTGTAATTGATTAGAATGTTTAATTATTTATACGGTGTTAGTTATAGAACAATTTAAGAAGAATTTATACGCAAAAAATAATAATGTATGTATAGAGGTAGATGAGATGAAAAATTGTGCGTCATTGCACATGCAACGTTCTGTGTAATATTATTGCACATTTCGTTGGACAGTTC